TTTAACAGTATTGTTCTGGCGTTCGTTATACCATTGTGCAATACAGAGCGGAATTTCGGAATGGTATAACTCTAGCGCCGTGTTTCTTTGTTCAATTAAAAAAAATTATATTAGGTTTAATATCGTTTGTTTAATAATTGCTCACTTTAATTACATTTTTATTTGAAATTATGGCGTATTATATTTCTTTCTTATGCACAAAAAAAGAAAAAAATAATATTATAATGGTATTATGTTTATTACGTAAATAATAAATAAGGGAAAAATAATTTGCAAGGAAATCTATTGGAAAGGTATTATTTTCCCACCAAACATGTTGTCAGATGTAAATTTAATTACATAGACGAGCTAAGAATTCTGGAAGTCGCAATTGTTCGAGCCGATTTGCCGACATCTCTGTCAGATAAACACAGTTACATAACGGGTTATTGTTATATTTTAGAAACACCGGCCGGAACTGGCCATTGTACGGTTATTTAACTCCGGTCCCCTTTTGTATCACTCCTCTCCTCTCAACAATATCTATTGTGAAAAACGGTGACCATTTTTATTTACGCACTGTCATCCTCTCTCAGGAGAGAAACTAATCCCCTTCTAATATAATTGATTAAAATTAATCCTGCTCTTAGTCTCCTGCAGGTATATAAGAGATTATAAACATTTATTTTGACAAAAAATGTCCTCAGAGAACAATAGACGAAAGTATGTCGAGTGACGAATGTTTAATATTATTAACTGCGTTTCTAACTATTTATTATTAGTCTCGAAAACCTCTTGTATGTAAAATAAATTTTAGTATTTTATAAATCATAGACAATGTTAAAAAAAAGGACGATAAAAAATAATTTGAACACTACAGAGCCTTTAATTTGGAAAGACGAAGGGCATCAAATAAAAAAAAAATTAAACACCTTGCAATAACGTTATTAAATTTTTATAAGATCTCTTTATATAGTTTAGTTAATAAAATATCAATTTTGTACATTGTGCCATGCAATGCAATAAAAATACAATAAATTAATAAAATTTAATTGATTTTTCGAAAGAAACAAACTTTTTATCTCACCTTATCAGTAAAGTTATGTAATATTTACACAAGCAAGCAAATAAAAAAAAAAATTCTTGTTTATTTTCATAGCATCATTGCTTTTAATGTTTGCTCATTTCGACAAATATCGAGGAGAGGTTTTTTTATTTGAAGTTTCTATTTTATGTAAATAGCTAATTATTCACCAAGTTTTATATTTTTCTGTTTAGAAGAACTTATCTCCTACTACACTGCGTTTTCCTTTTATCCTATTTGTCATCGTTTATCAAGGCTCGTTTTTTCTTATTTAAGAATATATTTTATGCTTTCACCACCCATTCTCTTTATTTTTTTGGACAGTCTCTTTCTCTTTTTTTCTAGATATGATTCTTTCTGTTATTGTTGATCTGAATCTATCAAACAGCTGATTATAACTGTGTTTTTTAATACCCCGCCTTTTTTCCTCGTTGTATCAAAGAGCAACGTTTTTCTCCGTGATTCGTTATATTTTCTTATTGATGCTCCGACCTTACTGTAATTTTACTTTAAATGATAAATCAACGTTTGTTTACGGTAAATGTTATTAAGGTTAAGGTGTTAATGTGAAGACTTGTATATTTGGTCAAATGTATAGAAGTAGTTGAAGATAGGTGATGGTAAAACTCACCCTGGGGATCAAGGGTATAAACAGGGTGAGTGAAAGCAACGGCATGCGTTTTCTTATGGTTTGTATTCAGCAGAGAAAGAAACACGACTGACAAAAATAACAAAACACATTGATAAACAAGCGAAAAGCTGAAATGCATTTGACAGAAAAAAAATTGAGAATAGACAAACGAAAATGTCAAAAATGACCATGCTACAAGTTTTTCAAGTATTAGAGAGAAATCGTACAGGATTAACATGATATTTTTACATTAGAAAATGTTAAATTCACTAATTTCGAAGTCCGCTTGACCAATTAATATGGTATATAATTAATATCATTGAAAAATGGCAAAAAGGAAGGAAAATTCAAGAGGTGCAGTTGAGATGGGAAGTTAGTGTCCGAGTGGATCGAGGTCACGATAGCTCAAGTGGTAGAGCAGCGGCGTATCTAGCCAAAGATCGTGGGTTCGAATCCCGCTCGTGCCATTGACTTTTTTATCTCAACTAAAAACCTTAATTGTATTAGAAAATGTTTTTGACAGCATTTTCTTTCCAGTTTTAGATGAAAAATTGTAGGAAATATAACTTTTAGAATGTGTTTGAGCAGAAAATGTTTTGGTTTAGCGTTAAAATCGAAATGTTGGGTAAAATGTTTGGTTAAAGTTGTGAAAGGTTTAAGTAACCTGAAAAGTAGAATCTCTCGAATAAATTGAGAATCAGACATTGAGAAATAGGGTCTTTGTTGTTGAATTGGACATGTACCCTCCCGAAGTATTGATGTACGTTCACACATGCATAAAAATTTAATGTCAATTACATTGTTAAATTACAACATATTTATTTTGTAATGTATATTTTGTAATTTTATGTAAACCAAATTAAACGAGATGAGATAATCATGTGTTTTAATAAAAATTATTTAATTATGATGATTTGAAAGAAAATCCATCAAAACACCATAAAATCATTTAATGATGATAAAAACATAATAATGGAATAATCCAAGATGGCACATGTAGATTCTGCAAAGAAGCAGAAGAGACACCAACACACTTACTAATAAACTGCGGAGCTACACTAGCCCGCAGGAGGAAGTGTTTTGGGATGTACAATGTGACCATAGAAGAACTACAACCACTGAAACCGGGCCTATTAATCAAGTTTCTTGATGAAATAGGACTCACCGATGTGCTTTAGGCAGAGCACAGGGGATACAATAGCTCTTAAAGGGCGCAGTATACCATACCCTGAATCATTATATCTATCTATCTATCTAACTTCTGATGATAAAAAAGTCTGATAGGCATCGATTAAATCAGCGACCGGATTTTGAGAAACACGAATCCCATTCTTCAACAAGAGCGATTTGAATTTGTTCAATGTTTGTTGGAGGCGACGAACAATGTTAAGTAGTCTCTTTATCATGTTCCATAAGTGCCCTGTAGAATTCATGTCAGGAGAAAGTGCTGGCCAATTAATTGTAATAATCTCTACATCCTCCAAATAGGTGACAAGTCGAGCTACATGAATTAACTCGAACTTGTCCCCAATAAATGAAGCGTTGGAACCAGAGCTTTCAGAAGAACTTCCTCAACGGACTTTACGCTGTCAGAGATCCATTCTGTATGATAATCAGGTCGGTAGGGCATGGAGGTTGTTTCCCACCCCATACGTATCCACGTCTTCTCCACTCACCGTCTGCGAAGAGAACTCCCCTCAATATCCAAGTGTCCAAGCGAGATACTAATTTACAAATAGTCATCATTCGTATCTCAATGCCGTCTAAAAGCTAAGCTATTTTCACGAAGCCTTCTGATACTGTTTTAGAGCTCACCCATACATTACGGACCGTTTGTAGTTGACTTCCTTTGAAAAAAACCCCATTAAATGACATGAAATTAAGAGTACTAAACCGTCTTGAATAATCGTTTTTAGCCGTCGTATGCGGTCGAACATTATGTCTCGTCGATAGAGACTTCCGGGGGCCCTAAACCGCTATAGACCATTGTGGATTGTAGAAATCGGCACACCCAGGATTTAGGCAATATAACAGAATTTACGTCCGTCGTTGGCAAGATCTCGACTTAAAACCATTCTTTAAAATTTTTTTTTTAAACTCAAATTTATTGTTTCTTAAAGAAATATTATTTGCTTAAAGAAAGCTCACTCGAAAAGTTGGTGCTGGACAACGAATTATTAATACGTTATAAGTCAACTATTCTAATCTCTATACCTACTTACTGTAGAAATTAAAAAAATAAATACTTGTGTACGTTTTTTGACTTTGGGTGTATTATAATCATTAAATAGGATAAACTATTAAATTAACAAATTTAGTTTTGATAGAATGAAGTGGCCCTGTTTGTTATGGTGTTATATCTACTTTTATTTTCTGTTAATGTAGTTGAAATTTTAGGTTTCAAGATTGTAAAAAGCTGTCAAAATATTTGTTAACCTTTTAAAATGATTAATTTAGTTTCACTGTGTAAATAAAGCGGATATATTTCTTGATAGGTCGGCGAATGAACTGAGCGTTTTCTTTCTAATTAGTCTCATCTCTAATTTTTTCTAAGTTTTATCATGAAAATAGTGCCTGTCGTTGCTGGTCAATTGATATCAGAGGCCAGTTTTTCAATTACCTGGAATAACTCGTTTACTGCAGTATTTTCACAAATAATCTTAAATTAATATATGCAGAGGATTTTCGATTTATTATTTATTTGTATAATTGATTGGGGCGTCATATTTAGTGAACGACCGGTTCAAGTTGTCAGTTAAAGTTGGATAAGTTTAGTATTATTCAATATTTGATATGCGTTCTTACTTCTGATTACTGTGTTTTAAATTATTGAAACGTTTATCATCGATCCATTTAGGAGTCGGGAAATGTGTTGTAAAACAATGGATGGGAGGAAAATTCAAACAGTCCTCATGTTTTACAAATCCAACCCGAAAAAAAGAAACGACTCGTATATCCAATTTGGGCGAATAAATAACTATTTTAAAAATAACGTTTGACTGGCGCTTAATGTTTAAGGGGGAAATATCCGAAGAGCTTTTATTTTTTGACGGCCTAATAGAAAATAACGTCGAACCGATAAATTTTCGTCTTGGTGCTTCTTTTGTCCATGACCGCCCGAACGTGGGACCGGGGTAAAAATGTTTTCCTTCGCCAGAGGTAGCACGAGACAGAGAAAAGAGTGAAAATGAGAGAGAGGGAGAAAGGGAAAGGGAGAGATGGATGCTGAGATAGAGAAAGGGCGAAAGGCCTGCGCCCTGAGCCGGCTCCAGGCCGCCCCCTCATCATTTCAGTTCGCCCTTGGATCCCGGAACGACCGCCTCCGCGTGTTCAGTGATTTGTGACATCGGGGCTTAAGGTGGTCAACACCTCTCGACTCGTATAAGGTATTAAAGAAAATAAAATAAAAAAACACAAAACAAAAATACTCCAATAAAATCCAATCTTTAATTCCAGTCGTTAAAAACTTTAAACAATCTCAAACACTTCTATAAAGAAAATAAAGTAAAGTATTTATGAATCTGCACCAATGTGTTTAGAGATTTTATTGCTAAAAGAGACAATGCTTACTAAACAGTAGCACAGAAGGTTGTCTATTAAATTTAATATAATTTAGTCTACTAAACAGAACTATTTAATTAAATAACCAAGGCAACATGTTTATATTAAATCTATAAAAAACAATTTATTCATAATTTACCACATAAAACTTGTACTGTTTAAAAGTAATGATCCAGCTTAAACAGTCAAAAGAAATTTGTCTATTTTTAGGAATTAGTCTAACATTAAGGAGCGTACAAAAGTTAAAAATAAACGAGTTTTGACCTGATTGACATTCGATTACTTGCTCAATTAATTCAATTGTAAACGCTGTTTCGTTCAATTCATATTTTTACCTCAACGTTTATTAACCAAATTACAACTATTATAAAAATAGAAAGGCAATTTGTGATTGACTTGTCTCTACAAATTGAAAAAGGGCCAAATATCTCTGGTATATTTCAACTTCGGTTAGATAAATTTTACCGCGTAATGGAATCAATACAGCACTGTTTAAGTTGAGAATGTGTAAGTGAAGACAAACTTTGCACATGCACATTTTTATGCGTCCGAACTGAAAGATTGCTCTTTGCATACCAACTATTTAATGAGGCAATCACAGTCGTTTTATTAAAGCAACATTGTGGATGGTTCTAATGGAATAAATTAAAGTATAAACTCGAAGGTAATAACCAAAATGAAAATAAAAACGACAAAGTATTAGAAAAAGTAATCTGGCACTGCAAATGTGGAATAAATAAATAAAATAAATAGAATAAACAAAAAAACAGTATTAACTTTTTTTGTGTAAAAGGTTTGGATTAATTCTGACATAAAAAAGAAAAATATAAAAAGATAAAATTAATACGATTAGAAAGCTAATAATTAAAAGTAATGAATCAATTGTTAATGTTTATCTGAAATTAAATATAAAACAATTATAAATCATAAATAAATATAATATTTTTCCTTTCTGTGTGACTTAAAAAGTTATATATTAACAATAAGCCAATTAGAAGTTTATATTGATTAATAATCAAATTGACTGGGTATCTCATTTTTTAGGATATTTTATGTCACTTTATACAAAAAAGTAATATGAATTATGTAATTACTTAAAAAAAGGAAGATGGTACAGAGATAGAGGCAAACAGTATTATAATAAAATAAAATAATAATTAAATGCGATTAATACATTTTAAATTTTATTCTCATATTAAAATTAATATAAAAAATCATGTTTTATAACATTAATACAATTAAAAAAATGAAGAAAACCAATTATTAAAAATAATATTTTTTTATCTTTTACACGTTTTAAAAAATTAACGAACAAACGTTCATAGTAATTCATAATTAAATTGGCTGGTTACACCTTTTGTTAGGAAAACCAAGTTAAAAATTCTCATCTGCCGGGTTAAAAAAAAAATTCAAACAAGTAGAAAAGCTTTTAACAGTATTGTAATAAAAACTTTCTTCTCTTTTTATCAAATAATCCGTATAATGAAAAATACGAACGTAGAATTGGTCACTGTTTGAACTGGAATGATTTTTCTGCATATTTAAACACTTTCAGAGTAACACTTTCAGAGTGTACAAAAGTCTCACTGAAGAACAGGTTTTTAAATTTTGGTCTTTACCGATCATTTTCGGCCTGCTTATCCTCGCAGACCAAATGGAGAAATCTAACAACGATAATTTTTGTGCAATTAAAAGTGGAAATAATTTACATAAATAATAATAAATAAAATTATATACTTAATATAATAACAATAAAGCTTTATTTAATAAATTCTACTTATACAATCCAGAAAGATAATATTTACATCTTGGAAACTGTCATTCCGTCATAGTGATGCTGCCCTGATAATAGTTTTTTTTTACAAAGAGTAAGAGAAAGATTGCAAATGAGAGAAATAGAGAGATAGAGAGAGAGAGAGAGAGAGAGAGAGAGAGAGAGAGAGAGAGAGAGACAGAAAAAGAGCAAAAGCGAAAGAGGAGGAGAATAGATAATATCGAAACAATTGTTGTGAACAAGCGAGAATATCTAAAAATTGAATTGCTGTACTGAAAAGATGTATAAAACTTCGGAGTGCGAGCAAATTTAATAAGAGGTCGGCAATAGAAATCAAGCAAAGAAATGAGCTAGGTTTCGGTTAGTACCTAGGTACTGTACCTTGTGCATGTACAGAACTTATCTTCAATTTCGTACACTCTCAAATCCAGGTAACAGAGTTATTAATTTTTCTAAACTCTCACATCTCTGATATTTCCAAATTTTTACATGATATCAGGCGATCGAAGGTGAGCTGAAACCTTTAGGAAGAATTTGCCCCCCCAAAAAAATAAATAAAATCTTAAGGACGATATTTAATTACTGTTTATGACCTCAATCCGACGCCATAGCACCATATTCCCTTGAGTACAATCTGCATCCTTTTGTAAACACAATTATTTTAGATTTTTCTAGATTCACAGAAAATCCCCGTTGGTCGCGGTAATTTCTAAAAATATTTTATATTAATTCAGCTGTCTTTCTTATTGGCAATTCGAACACTGCTTTTCATAGACCTATTATAATTGGCTATTGGAGTAATTTTTATATTCTAAATCCGTAGGAGTAAATGTTTTAGTTTTCTAAATCAGAGGGCCACATTTCTTTCTAAAAAATAAATTCTAGCCATTTTTTTCCAATTTATTATGTAAATCGGATTGGCTCATATATGAAAATATACTATCGGTTCCTTCTCCAACATTCAGATATTCGTCGACGTCCTTTATGTATTTTTCGATTCGTGGTATTTTTTCTGTCAAGGGAGAAGCGGGAGAAGTCGTTTCGAATTCCCCACGAGTGATTGATAATGCCACTTTTCCATCACTTCTCTCTTCTCTTGCTCCTGTTTACTTTAACATCACCTTCTTTTTCCATTTCTTCGCTAATTCAATTGTATTGTCTGTTAATCCGGCTAAACCCCGGAATTCGAGTATTAACAAAGACGTACTGTAAAACAAGAAAAGGGAATAGTACTTTGAAAAATTTTCTATACATCTTCGTAAATAAACCTGATAAAACAAAGATTTTGCAAGCTTTAAAATATATTTGTTTGTTATGATTGTTCATTTAATTTTTATTTAAATATTTAAAACTGACTACATGTAATTGGATGTACACAATCCAATATTTACCATTTCTATTGAAAAAAATACATTAATTAATTATAATTTAGACAAGAAAATTAGAACCAGAAAGTGAGAAGTAAGAACACTACAAGTAATATTACTAAATAAATAAATTAGATATAGATATATTTTAGGAAAACACATTTTTCATTTTATTGCCGAAGTTTTTACCTTTATTCGGGTCATCATCAAAACCACGTATAGTGCTATTCTTGGTAAAGATCTCATTTAAAATTTATTTTTAGTCGGATATAATTTTTAATCTGATATTAAATATAAGAGGGGAGGTAAAATTGTATTTGAAAAATAAGTCATTTATTTTATATTGCAATAATACAAAATTATTTTATCCTAATAGTCTACAAATTCTAATATTTTTTGCAATTAAATTCTAGTTAGAAGTGTTATGATCATAATTAAATGGGTTATTTCAACAAAAGCAAAGAGCCTTGAGCTTTAGGAATGTTGGGAGCTTCCCTTTCCATTCTTCGGGCCAAGATTAAACCCTGGAACTCCCGGAGAACTATCCTGTGTGGAGCAACAAGACCGAAATTGTAAAAACTCTCCTGAAAAGATTCTATTAAACGTCTTGTAAAACTATTTGCAGGGGCATAAAAGAGGAATCACGATGCCGAACTTAGCGACGGGCGAATGTTTAATTAAACTCGTGTGAAGTTGCGAGGGTAAGAGTTGAAACTGGGTTTTAAGCTCAATTACACGTTTACGTTCTTGGGCGGGGCCGGAGGCATCGAGCGAAGGACTTATTTCTTCCAACGTCCTGGAGATTGGGCGTTCGAGTGGAGTTTCATCCCCTCGAGGAAACCTCTAAAAAATAGTTAGGGCCGGGGAACAAGGGGTATTTCTTGAATAATTTCGTAGTGATTATTTGCTTTAGGGCTTAAAAAGTCCCGGTGGGTTTACCTGGATTTTGAACCGTAGTCCCGCAGTAATATTACACTCCTCGGTTGCCTATACGACAAATTTGAATAATTTAATTTATTCTAGTGATGACCTTACATGTTAAATGTACTTCATTTTAACTTGACAGAATATTCACGTATAATTTATTCATAAATAAAAGGTGTTAAAGAATATTCAGAGAATTTATCAAGGAACCTATCCAAATCTTATTAAATCATTTAGTAATGATCATTTTAAATTATTATAGAATTATTTGGTATATAAAGGGAAAATAATACCGGATTCAACAAAATAAAAAGAAAAACGTTACAAGGCACCTGAAACGCTCGTAGATTGAAAATAGACGGACAATATATTGTATCAAAGGCTAAAATTGAAAACAAATGTTCAGAATTAGTAAATCAATCAAAATTTTCAAAGATTATAGATTTATCTAACATTCGCCATTAAAAGGAGGTGAAACCTATTGTAGAAAACGTTAAAACTTATTTAGAAAATTGGTACAGCGAAAATAATTGGAACAAAGTGATCAAAGAGGTTAAATTTTTATGACAGCTCGACAAACATAGCAAATTATTATCAATTTATTTGACTTTTATAGGTAAAATGATACCAGGCTTAATTACTGAAAATAGCAGAACGCCAAAACATGTTTGCATGGCTTGTACAGAAAAGATAAACGAAGGATATAGATCGGGACTATGACTAATGTATAATAATATAATAATATAAAATAATATAATAT